CACCAACATTGTAATTTGTTGAACATGTTGCGCTGAGTCTGCCAATAAGCCCAGAACTCAGTAAAGGTATTAACGTACTCAACATCCCCAAGTATTTCAGTATCATACACCAGACTGGATTTTTAGTCCCCGTTCGGACGAAGTCCGAAAACGGGGACTTATAATTCGGTCTCCGTCCGTCCGTCCGGAGTAAATAAATAATCTGTTGTATACGCCACTTGGAACTCAAGTTTCAAGGACACGCTCGCGACAACCCCTCCGCTTTAATATGACGAGCACAAAGAGAACTTAACGGGAACTGTGTCATTTTCAATGACTTGTTATTTCTGGTGTTACCAAAGGAAAGATTTATAAACAATACATAGTGATCAGAAAAAGCACAAGAGTCGTTAGTTATTTGTATTGTATTTATTCTACTGCGCATGTGCTTACTTATGTAAAACCTATCGAGACGTACCCGTGTACACGCACGTCCCCATGTATAATTAGTGATGTCGCCATGATAGTGACGCCAGGCGTCAACAAGTTTAAAGTGCTCTAACACGCTTTTGAGAGAGTGCGACGTGCATATGTCTGGCTCATTGCCGCGCCGTTACGATCGAGTTCAGGTGAAATGGTGCAGTTGAAATCACCCCCTATTATAACGGGGTCATTGTTAAGACTGGTGATATGATTTTTTAGTTTTTGAAAGCGTTCAATGTGCTCATTACTGTCAATTGGGGCATATACATTAAAAAGGTGAAAAGGACTTTGTTTATTTTCACGTGTGCGTGCAGAAGATGAATAATATTTGTATGTGATAAAACAACAACATCGGAATTGGGTGCAAAGAAAATGGACACACCAGCGTGATTTGTAGTCCCATGAGAAAAAAACCAATACCTCGCCACACAACTTGCCAGGTATTAACATTCGAAGGTAGTGAGTGGGTTTCCCTCAAAAAGTAGAAATCACACGAATGATCACGTTTCAAGAATTCAAAAATTCTGTACCTTTTCATAGAATCCCGGCAGCCATTGACATTTAAGGTGATTCCTGAAATAGAGGATGCCATGGTAAACAGAAAATATAAAATATTAATCAATGTGATGTCCATTATATTACACCTCAGCGATAAACTCGCCTGTTGTTTTAATATACTTTTTTATTTTGTTGATCAGTTTACAGAGACGAATTTTTTGTGATGAATTCAATCTCTGTGAGTGACAATAGTTTGTAAGGCATTTAACAAGTACTTTGGGCAGAAATCAAAACACATTTCAATAAATTTTCTGGAATGTAGTGTTACCACCAGAAAATTTTTAATCGCCATGTTGGAGATTTGAGTGTCTGTATCCCCAAGACTAGATACGAGAGATACAACTGATCCCTCATTGTCACTGCTTTCATCGTCGTCTATGTCCCCAGTGGTGTATTCTGGGTCACTGGGGGCTACGGAAGTTTCTTGTGTTACAACAGACGATGTTTCTGGTGAGATTAAAAATGATAGCGGTGAAAGGTTTGTTGATTCAAACGTACAAGTTGGTGATGATGGAGACAGAAGCAGGTCATGTGATGCAACAGTAGTAGGTACAGTGGCTGTAGATGATTGTTTGCCTGTAGTAACCTCGGCAAAGGTTGGTTTTTTTGGAAATAGTAACCTCTGCATAAACGTGACGAGGTGCATCACAAGGTTGCAGGGATAGAGAGGAAGAGGAAAAAGGGGGAAAAGGAGGGGTTCGTACTCTCTTCTACTGAAGCAATGTCAGAAAAACATTTTTTTAAAGCACGTTCATTTTCATTGTCAGAAAGTTGACTTTCACAAGTTTCATTTTGCCTATCGTCGCTATGGGGTGATCATGGAGATCTTTTTTTAGCTCCATGGGGTGATCGAGCACGTTTTTTAGAACTGTTTGATTGTGTATTGTCAACTTCCATGTTAAGATGATTTTCTTGGTTTATATCAGTTTTCATTAACATTGTCTGAATCTTTATCTGTTGTTTTATCATTGTTTTCAGTATTATTTTTGATATTATTTTTACCCTGACACAATTGTTGACTGTCTGACCCCTCATCCATAGCAGGAAATTGAGGATTACCATTGTTCAGGTTGTCATTTTTGTTATTGACATTTTCTGTGGAATTCAGTTCTGGTTCATCTGTCAAAGTGTTAATCGCCATTGTTTTCTGGGTTTTTATTTTGCATGACAATAGGGTGTTTGTTTGGGCAGTTATTACGTGTGTGACCTTTTTGATGACATAAAAACATGCAAAATCATCGGTTGAAACATATATATTGAAAGTTTGGTTGTCATTCACAATTGGCAATAAACCATTAATATTTGTGTTTTTGAGATGCACATATACCTGCCTTCAAAAAGATTGAACATGTTTCAACGTTGGTTTTTTGCAACCAAGTGAGATAATACGAACACCACTCATTACCCGTCCATGTGGTGTTAGAGTACGAGCAATGCATTCATTTGGTAGAAAAGGTGGCACATTTGATAAAACCACTTTGGTGGATGGACAGACAAGTGGCTCTACCGAAATAGACAAATCGCCAATGTCTACTCCATTGGCACAAACCAACACAGGAAACTGATGAAACAAAACTGAATAAGAAATACTCACACACAACCAGTGATACTGTATACAAAACGTGGAAGCATTGAAAAACAAGCACTGTACTCACAAAGGCAGCAAAAGACGAGCCAGTTGGCCGAGATCAGGAGCGTTCAAAAACACGTCCTGCTCCGACCATAGTATAGTATAGTATATTTTATTTGACTCAAATTAATAAATTGGAAATACATTAAGCATGGTCAATAATCATACACAATAACACGAAATACAGAATATAAAAAAATAAAATGTTAAAATGGATAACACTAACAACTATAAGGTATTACATTGTAAAATTGTGTTGATAAATTTTCCTAGACTATTGGCAATGAAACTGTCTTTATTATCATTGTATAATGATAGAGTATTCCAAAAGTAGCTATGTATCTTTACAATTTCATCCAGTTTGCAGTCAAAAAGAGCATGCATTTCATCACCAACAGACTGATCAGAACACAGTGTGCAAAATCTTTGCTCTGAGGGTATTTTTTGGTATCTTAATTTTTCAATTGGTAATTTATGTGCTGAAATTCTAAATTTGGTTACACTTACTCTGTGATTTAAATTATTAATTTTATTCAGATATGGTTCAAAATCATAATCTGATTTTGTATTTATTGTAAATACGTAGTTTATTATTTTCCTTTTTGGATAGAGTTGGTTACCAAATTTTTTCATAGTAAATTCTTTTAAGATTGTTTCTAAAAATGTTAGCATTATGATCAGTGTCATTCAATCAAGTTATTTCAAGTAGTTTGCTAACAAAGTTTGCCCATGAATCACTATTGAGTGTGCACTCTGACTGATAAGCACAGTGCACTACATTACCACATTCTTTATTTTTTACTCTTAACCAAAACTTGTACTATCAAGAATTTGATGTGGATTGATTCAATTTCTGAGCTATCACTAAATAATTTCTGAATAAATAATTCAGGGGTGATATTAGGCTTAAAATTAAAAGCTGCCCAAATTTCTGAGCAGTATAGTAGAATAGGCATAAGAGAACTATGAAATAGTTTAATTGCATTAATTGGTGAGTTTGTTTTAGGACCCCTAGTGCTCGCTGTGTTTCTTTACAAGGTTATTAACAACTGTAAAATTGCCACTACTCTGAAAGGTGATCCCTAAGTATGTATATGAAGATACTACTTCTATTTGTTCATCACCTAGAAAAAAGATGTCATTAATAACTTTGGTTTTCTTGATGTTGACAGTCAGTTTCCACTTTTTGCAATAGTCATTAAAGAGATTAAGACTGTCTTGTAGCCCAGAACCTGAATTTGACAGTATGACAATGTCATCCGCAAAGAGTAGACAGTTAAATGACATGTCATGCAGCCTGACAGGTTCAGTGTGTACTAGACTTTCAGATAGGTCATTGATATAGATATTAAACAACAGGTGTAACCTTAGTGCCTCATATACATTGCCCCTTGTATGTTCCATTACGCATGCATTGGGGGTAGAATATATTACTGTTGGCATTGCCTAAGGTCAATCTTGTGTACGATCTTTTGAATACAAAGTCAAGTCAACAGGGGACTTAAATTGCACCCTTGTTTAACAACATTGGAAGACATGAAAGTTTATCTCTTGTTTAATACATAGCATAATGGTGCCCTCTCCCTCTCTCCTATAATGCATTGAAAAACAGAAGAAATCATAAAGTAAATTCTTCTTCTCCAAAATGGCTGAATCTATTGAACAGAAATGTGTACATGTATGTATACCCCATTGATTCTCTCTACCATGGCTAATACAGATAAGAATATCAATTCTGCCATCAATGATGATTTGTCTATCAATTTGGGTAAGAACATTAAAGTACTTGTCAAAAGACTATTGCCAAAATTGTGTCCACTATCATGGTATGTAAGAGGTGTTATAAACACAAAGAGCATTTGTGAGGTGCGACCACACTTTTTGAAAAGAACAGAGGGCGGATGATGAAACAAAAGAGTATGGATGTGCTAATACAATAGGGTACAAACTGTGACAAATTTCCATGACCGACCTCCATTAAATTAAATCACAGACTACAAACCATTAACCAGAATAAAAATCAAGAGATGACTGAATTGCAAAAATATCAGTCAAAAACAGAAACTCCAAGCCGATGTTAAAATTGAAATAATTAAAAGCAGGCAGGTGTCTGTGTCGAGCTTTTCTTATAACCTAGCTGTCTTTCAGGTTAACTCAGTCACGTTATAGCCCTGTGCCTTCTACTTGTGCTGTTGCACTTTGGCTAATACATGCAGTGGCTATGGGTACTCAGTCTCAAATTATTAGTTGTCATATAGCTATCTAGTAATTTGTTGAACAAGATTCTTATTATTATTATTTTCAGGGTTACAGGGAGTGGACCTTGGTAATTATCTCATAAAGCAAGTTGTGAAACATCTTCAAGCAGAATTTCCAAAGATGCACCAGTTTTCTAGTTTGTCTCCAATCCCAGGGTTCCGTGAATGGTTGCTAGGGGAGATACACAAGGAAATAAAAGGTTGGAGTTAATTTTTTTAATGAAATGTCCAGCTTACAGTCATCATAGGGACAAATTATTCCTGACTGCACAAAATAAAGTTCCAAATTTTGATAAAGAAAACAGTCAGAATAAATTCATATTGATTATGGGATCCCATACTCTAGCACCAGCCTTAGCTGTCTTCTTAAAAAAAAGCTATGAAACAAAACAGCATTGATGTTGTGATTTATGAAACGCTTTTAATACTCAAGTTTGTTTTGTGTTACCTAGGCGATAACCCAAAAGGTCTTCTTTTCACTCATTCTGAGCTAAGAACAATCATGGAAATTTTTAAAAGATCTGACAGGTCCACAATGGAAGAGTTAAGACGACTGTTCATCACTAATGATTGGTCTCAATCCTCAAAGATGCTTAGACTATTGGAAAGACCTTTATTGCGACTGTGTGCAAGGTATCTTTACTCAGAGAAACGACGAGGCCATGCCTTAAATCCAGTTGGTAAGTATAACTTTCGTTTATTGGTACTTTGCTGTTTAATTCACTGTTGTCATAGTGACAGTTCTGTTATATTTGTACTTGACTTATCATTTGTAGCTTACTTTCAATTAAACAATTGCCATTAGTACAATAAATAAATGTATGCAACTTGAATGTGATGTTCAATGACAATCTTATAAGACCTCATGATCCTGAGCTTGTTGTGGTTAGAGATTACTCAGTGTCTGACTTACCGAGAGATGCCTCATTGTCTTCAAACTAAACCTCTGTCCAGCCCAAGAGAAGGCCACAGGGTGTTGAAGCACCAAAACACCTGAATATCAGCAAGTTGAAGGTCAGCGACATCAAGCAGTCTTTTGCGGACACCTTCGAGCAACGCTTAGACTCCACTGTGCTTGAAGGCCAGAATATTGAAACAGAATGAGCCGGTGTATATATAACACTGCCATAGAAATATAAGGACTGGTTTGATGAGAACTGCACAAAGACTCAACAGCTGCTAGAAGAAAAGCATCGTGCCTACAAGGCTTATCCCAATGACCCAAAATCAGCATCAAAGAAAGACACACTGAGAAATTCATGGAGCACCATTCAAGTAAAACTGCATCAGATGCAGAATTCCGGGTTGAGCTGCAAAGCAGATGAGATCCAGGGCTTTGCAGACAGGAAGAACATGAAGAATTTCTACGACAGCTTGAAGGAAGTCTATGGCCTTATTACCTTAAGATCACTGTCTCCCATCCTCAGTGCTTAAGTGTTTTGGAGAGATGGGCTGAACACTTCGACAGCACCTAAATAGACCTTCCACCATCAACGATGAAACCATTGACAGGCTACCTCAAGTATGTGTTGAAGAGACCATGGACGCCTCTCCCACTTTGGAGAAAATTCAGAAAGCAGTCTGTCTTCTTTCCAGTGCCAAAGCACCTGTTTCGGACCCAATTCCAGGTTTAGTCTATAAGGAGGGTGATGTGGCCCTGTCTGAGAAACTCCACCAGCTGTTTCAGCTTATCTGGCAGCACGAGACGATGCCACAGAACTTCAACAATGCCTCCATCATCCATCTATACAAAGGTAACCACCAAGCCTGCGACAATCATTGTAGAATCTCGCTGTTGTACTCCATTGCAGGCAAGATCCTGGCTAGAGTTTTGATCAACCGCCTCATCACACACCCGTGCAAGGCCTCCTACCTGAAAGCCAGTGTGGCTTCTGGAAAGAACACGGGACTATGGACATGGTGTTTGCTGCTAGACAACTACAAGTGTCAGGAACAGAATGCCGACTTTTTCTCCACCTATGTCGATCTGACTAAGGCCTTTGACATGGCAAAGTATGGATGTTCCAGAAAGTTTGTACGACAAACTACACAATGGCATGCTGGCAAGAATCCAGGAAAACGGAATGACCTCTGATCCATTCCTTGTTTTCATTGCGTCCTTGCTCCCACCTTGTTCAGCCTCATGTTCTCAGCCATGCTGACATATGCCATCATGGATGCCGGACTGATGGTTTACAAGCAAAACCATGGTTTCGACTGACACCATCAACAACTTATTGTTTGCTTATGATTGCGCCCTCAATGCTGTCATTGAGGCTGATATGCAACACAGCATTGTCCTGTTCTCTGATGCCAGCAACAGCTTTGTCCTTACCATTAGCACTAAAAAGACTGAGATAATGCATCAGCCAATCCCAGGAAGGCCCTATGTTCATCACTATCAACAGGCAGTGACTGACCGCAGTGGACAAGTTCACATAGCTTGGTAGCACACTTTCTAGAATTGTGGTTATTGACAAGGAAGTCAACGCCAGACTCGCTAAAACAAGTGCCACCTTCAGCAGACTACACAAGAATGTCTGGAACAACAAACTTCAGAATAAACAGCAGGGATTTTCTAAACAATGACATTAAAGGTATTAATCACAGAAATTAACTGCATACTGACAGAAAATTAAAAACCGAATTTGGACTTCAAAATTATCTGCTGACAGTAAATAACCCACTACACATATCACTACAAGATGGTGAATACATGGATGTCTGTATAAATCGATTTACAGATGATGACTGGGACATAATTAAGCATGTTATGTTAAAGCATAATAATTGATAGAGGCGTATTGTATTTGGGACTGTGAGGCAGTTTAGGGTTTGACTTGGAACACTACTTAAGGTAGCGAGAAGGTTTTGTGACGTTTTTAAATAAAACATTCTCTGTCTGTTGTCTCGTTCAGAGCAGTAATTTAGGTTATATATATCAAAAGACTTAGTATCGAGGTGCAAGTTCGCACAAACTGGACAGACATTGTTTACATAATTATCACGTGACATCAAAAATGGCGAACCTTGTAAAAATGACTAAGTACGCGATTGCGAGAGCACACTGCGGAATTTCCTGGTGAAATTTAAGTTATGCATTGTCCGTAATCATGTCCATTGAAATGCGTCTCCGATAATCAAAAGACTTATTATTCCGATTTCTATGCAGGTTTGTTTTTTTGTCCCCAAATTATTTCATACTTGGCACCTTTAACAGACTATTATTCTGTGACAAAGCATTTTCTTTAAAAACCCAGACATATTTCGCACCATCATTATCTTTTGAACGATAACTGCGAGTTTGAATGTCCTAGTCCGAACGCACTTGATTTGGCGGCGGTCCCAATGAGTCGTTCTCGATCAAAACTTCAACTCGAGAAAAACGCGAAAAACAGTTTTGGTTAATAAAACACTGTAGATTTGCTGCATTATTATAAATATACACTAAAAATGGCCAAACATATTAACCACTGATATCATAGAACTCATAAAGAGTGTCAGATAATGAATAATTTCAAGCTCGAGCGCGAAGAATGAAGAAAACTGCTGGCATTTGAGTCCGTACTCCAGGAACGTTCGGGTTTTCCATTGTTATGCAAACGAACAACGAGGGATAATCCTCTGACAAACATTACTGTCCCACTGTACACGCTGACAGTTTACAAACAAGCTAATCCTTCAAGTGTCTCAGATAAGACATCTAATAAAACGGTTTTCATGGTGAAACAAAATGGCCGATGTTTGAAAAA